TGTACAAAATACTGGAAAACCAATTCCAGTTTCGTTTAAAGAATCGGTATCTCCATCGTTCTGCAAATCCTCCAAGGCTTTCGGTGTACTGGCGGTTGATTGTTTGGCCTTCTAGGGCATGTCCACAGCCTCATTTACTCAGTCATGATCTAACTGGGCTTCAATGACGTGTTTATTGAAGAGGTGAGGTGATCCCAACATCTTATTTGTCAAATGGCAGATGCTTTGGATTGACTAAATGTCATCCCGCTATCTGAACGTTACGTTAGATTGATCAAAAAAAAAGTTTCTAAAAATCTCAAGCATGTTTTTTATCAAACCTTACAAATCTTTCATTTCCTATCTAAGTGAATTTACCGACGATTAGCAGTAGCTATTTCAGAAAGACAAAACTGCAATTTCTACTACTGGAGAAACACCAGCATCCTATGCGGATTCTTTTTTATTTCAAAGGTGTAGGAAAAATTTGTCCAATACATGTAGCGTCCTGGGCCTTTCCCTGAAGTCGAAGCAGGTGATAGCACCTGGACAGAATATATATTGTCGAAGTACGGTAGGGCTTGGGGAGGGAGGCTATCGGCAAGGCCCGTGGGCCATGCCGCCCGGCGGAGGCACAAAGGCGGAGCCCTCAGTGGCCCGTTACCAAAATCAGGATTTAAACAAACACTTGAGTTTTGCATCATCACTCTTTTCTGTTTCGTCAGCCATCACAACGCAGTCGGTGTTGTGAGAAAAATACCCATGAACCGCTCGCACCAGTCATCGAATTTGCATACAGCTGAGAAGACGGCTAACTGCAACGTTACTAATCTCTCTTGGCAATTTCGCTGAATCCAAAGTTTTGTCCTGTTTGGGAACTGTATTTGAGAAGGGTGAAATATGCTGCTCATCATGTATGCCCATCGCTAGTTGTAAGAATACCGCCAACAAAAGCAGCACAATCTAATAAAGGATGGGGTTTTAAATACTTTCTGGAGGATAGGGTTTCGCATCTGTTCTCCCTTGTCCCTTTGTTCTCACTCCGGTACTGCCTATCCATGCATCTATCAGGGTTCTATCCAGCTAGCAGAGAGGTGGAGGAGATATCGCATGTTCATTTCATTGACACCTTTATGCAGGTAGCGTAAACAGCTCCGTGACGAACTTTTCCAGGCGGTTCATGGGCACAGCTAGTGTCACTTTCGTTTTTAATAATACGAAGCTGGGGTGGACGCCGAAGGTGTACATCATTTTCAGCCCTTCTGTTGGGAGTCGTCACAGATTCGCCCATCTATATCACATGCACTTCTTCTGACACGTTAAGTTTTAGCATTTGGGGTTAATAATAGGGGGTAGTTGTCGGTTGGGATCGAGTTTGCTTTCCGATGCCACTAATGTTAGTGCTCCAAGACTTTCCTGAAAACGAAACAAGACGCACACAAGGGCCTGGGGTTACCGACATAGCCCGGAGGCCAGGTCTTCCGGCAAGGAAGCAATGGTGGAAGCCTCAGTGACCCGGTGCCAAAACCGGGAGTCAAAAAAACAACCATAGTATTACGCACATTATGCCTGAACTTTTATGCATTGTCAAAATTAATTAAAGCGTAATTTTTTTAGACCGGATAAACTAATCCGATAGTATCACCCAAACACGTTTTGATCGTTTTGGTGGTTCAACAAATGCTGCGACAATATTTTAGAATGAGCTTTTAAGACCAGCTGTAACTGCAGTCAGTGAAAATAATATTATTTTTCCGCACACAGATTAAGGAAAACTTTCGGACCCGGATTGTTTTTTTGACAATTCCCTTTCTCGATCAGTGCACAGCCTTTTACTCGCAATTGATAAGTAGTAACTACCGTCTCGGAGGGTAGACGTGGCCTTACTCTACCATGGGGAGATTATCCTATGGTCCTCTTTAGCTGTTTGGGACTTTGCAGTCTATTTTTTCCATTGAAATGATGAGTTTTGGGGGTACCCAAAAGGCGATGGGAATCAAGCAACTCCTGTTATTCCCATTGTGCCTAGAATTGCACGTGTTTTGATATTGTAAAAGCAAAAGCGAATTCCGGCAATAATTTGAGCGTAGGTAGAAGTTGTAGCCTTTGAGGGATCATTCCACTGCTGGGATTACACTTTTACTGGTTGCAAAAGGAAGACCAGTTAGCTATAAGACCAACAATTATTAAACAATTACGTATTTTTTGCCTGACATCAGAGCAACTAACACTCGTTTATGGAGGTCATTGCTTTCAAGTTATGTTGCCAAAATATGCATAATGACAAATGACTGTCTAAACACGCATAAACACCGATTACGCGTTGCCTTTGTGCCAGACGTGCATCGCTGCGAACCCTGTGACCCAGCTGACCCGCTGCACCCGGAGTTGGCCAATAAATGTGTCACTGGAGGAATTGTATTTCATTCGTTATTATTGTAGAATACAACCCACAGTGTATGTGGATGGGAGTTGAAGTTTCGCACGTCTGTGAATGGGACGCGAGTGTGCCCTACCATCCGCGATGCTGCCCCTTGCACACCCAGAAACTACGCAGTCACATACCGTCGGGATACCCTTGTGATTCCTCAGGCACGCATCTTCAACGATTCCTCAATATCCCTCTCCCGTGATGGTCGCTTAATTGCCGCTTTTGCTGTTCCACATGGTAATCAACAGAACCCGGACTCTCTTCAGGTAGACATTCGAATCTTATGCCCTACCGTCTCCATCCCTGGCTTTCTAAACGCATCTGTCTTTTTATTTGGGGTAGGTGCAAGACAGTACAGTAGCAGTGTATTGGGCGGAGCCCGTGAGTCGTCGGGGCCACTGCATCTTCGCGGTCAGCACGGTGCCACCCGCTGAACCCGTGTGCCTTCACTTCTCGCCTTCTGGTAGTTTTCTTGTCGTTGGAACAGCTAACTCACCCCTCGCTGTTACCCATCACGTCCCAGCTATGGTGCAGCAGTACAACGCAATGTTTGCTAGAATAATCAACTACGAGAGCCCCGCACTGGCATACATCTATGCGATCGACAGAAAGCGAAAGGATTCGGTGGAACAGAGCACTCGAGTGAAGGAGGTGTTCCGATTCGACCCACCAGATTTCATGAAGTCACCCTATGGTTTTACGCCAATGTCGTTAAATACAATTCTATGGCACTGTGGTGGCATTGCTTATGGCACCACAAGGGGGCTCATAGTGATGATGGAGCCCCGTCTGCAGAACGACTTGAAGGACGCATCCTCAAAAGATCACTTCTAGAGCATTCCTGATGTGTAGATAGATCCTATTTATTGGTGTTATGCTTTTCAGTGAAAATGACTAGTGAGCAAAAACCGGTATTTTTTGTATTTTTGTGTAGTGATTTGGTATTTTATTTCAATAAATGTCTATACAAGCTGCACTTCAGGGAGGACTCGAGGCGGTACATTGATGACAGTGACCAATTAACTCTACGTAATACTTTGATGACTACGCTGCAATCGACGCAGAAATAGTTGAGCTGTATTTTTAACTAAGTTGGCCTTTTCAGACTCAACAGACTGTACTCCGACTTGGCGACAAGGCTCTCTGGCCACGTCTATAGCCTCCTTCCCTTACTGTTGATTAATAGCAAACGCCCCTCAAGGCTGACACGGTCTGCTACAACCTTACGGTAGATTTGGGTTAGCACAACAGAAACCGAAAAGCAGCAACCAGTAGAAAGTGGATTTTGCTGAAAATGCCAGGTTTGGGGATTAGAACTATTTAGCAAAAAATTCAGCTCTTTAAATTCCAAAAGACCAACCTTCCTATTCCTCACAAGTTGTAGAGGACTGGTGTCCAGGCAGTTCTTCTACATTTTAGAAGTTAAGTCCTTGATTTGATACGATTATTTGGCAGAAATACAATGCAAACAGGTATAAACAATATAAAAATATAGGAAATTAATTTAATACGTTGGAACGGCCGATGCGGAAGAGTGAATAAGAGGGCGCCGGATCTGACACAGATGAAGAAGGCGACTATTGAGAGGTTTTTTGCTTTTTTGAAATCTGATTAACTACACGATCTCTTCGTAGTCTACAAGTTGTGCTTCTGCTATGTGGCTTGACCCTTCGGCCAAGTCCGTAATCTTTACGATCTGTACATTAAATGAAATCATCTTTTACATTAATAACGCCTCGCTACGACTTCAGAAATGGCTTGGAGCGAAAGAGAGCACACCAATTCAGCCAAAAAGGGAACTTACGAATAGAAATTTCCGGATGAATGCTCTGGCATACCAAATTTCTATAGAAGCCCTGACGGGCCACAGCAGTGGGACAGGCTAAACACTAGTATCACATTCAAAAGTCTGCGCTGACAGACAAAGTGCCGCCTGAGGCGATATTAATTCGCAGAGCAGCAGACCACCACAGTATGATTTAAGGAAATTGCTATTTTGAAATCATAAAGGCTAGTAAGAAAAATAGAAGAGCTCCAAGGTTAAACCACCTGAAATTGCATTATATGATGCTATATTCATTTTAGTCCTAGTACCTTTGAAGATGTATACAACTATTGAACATATTTACCAATTTTTTTTACGCTTTTTAATTAAAACTTGCCATATGTTATTCGGTAAACACCACGTATTGTTTTTGTTGCATTGATATTAAAATTAGGAAATATAGCTAGCTTACTCCAAATTAATTATTCTTTAATTCCTTTTTAGCTGTTAGACTACAGAAAATATTGGTCTCAATAACAGATATAGGTGATGGCGGGATTTCAACTGGCGATTTAAATACCCTTGGTAGGGGAAAGTCACTCAGTGAACACGACTCTCTTTCTGGAACGGATCTCGTTTGAGCAGTCTAATAGCCCTAAGGTAATGAAGGTCATGGCAAAAGAGATAGGTGTCTCAGAACAGCTTATTTTCCTTACTAGCATTATAAACATTGCTATTTTTGTCTGGTGGTAAAGTGTGTTGTAAATTTAAAGTCGAATGTTTTTGCGTCATTTTCTTTTTAGACAACAATGATTACGCGCAATAGGAATCGACGGGGGACCACTTCGGTAGGTTTTTATTCTGGAATTTTTGGTTTAATGCTACTTTTGGAAATTCTATTGTTACGTCTTCCTATTTCAGAACGACGAGAATGCCAACGCTCAAGGAAAAGTTATCGGGAGGATTTTGAATACGAGGTCTAGGGCTGTTCTTAGTGAGATAGAAAATCTAAATCTTGCCGAACTTCCTGATAAGGTAGCTAGGCCGTCTGATCAACATTCCAAGTGTTGCTTAGACGCCTGTGCAATTGAGACCCTACGACTGCTAAAGAGGAATGCACGTCACTTGTCTCCGCAGATGCGTGATAATTTCTTCCGATTTTACAAGCAAAGGTCGGAAATTCGGGCGGAGTGTTTGCGGGCAAATGCCTCATATTTCTTGAGTCTTGATAACAAGCTCATTCTAAAGGACAGGCGCATAGATGATGCTAATCAGCGCTCTTTTGACTACCTTCAGAATATCGAATTCTTGGTATATCCTTTGCCGGCGTCGTTCTTGTCTGATTGTGTGGATTTGACTCCACGAATGAGACATATTCTCGTGAACTGGATGGTTCAAGTACATCGGGGCTACAGGCTCAGTACTGAGACTTTGTTTCTTGCACTTCGTTTGCTGGATAGATACATATACGTAAGTTCAAGTGATCAGATTTAATCCTTGTTTTCTAGAAATCCGCAAACCAGGTTTCGAGACAGGTTTTTCAATTACTAGGAGTAACGGCACTCTTTATCGCTTCCAAATTTGAGGAGGTGTTCCCACCTGACGTAGGCGATTACTCCTCCATAACGGAGGGCTGTTTCGACTCGTCAGACATTGCTGTGTGTGAGCAAATGATTCTCCATGGGATGGATTTTCTTGTTAATATCCCTTGCCCCCTCGTTATTCTTGCGTCGCCTCTCGAAATCATTAGAGGTGGACAGTCTGGTGCACAACCTCTCTAAGTACTTCCTTGAATTAGCTTTTCAAGAGTATGAGCTAGCGCACCTTCCTGCCAACTTCCTCTCCACAGTTTCAATCTGTTTGGCACTAGCCGTAACAAAAAATACATACATCATCGATGACGTGTGGGATCCCAAGTTGTCCTACCTCAGTGGGTACGGCATAGACGATGTGCGAGAACCCCTTCAAATGCTTGCGAGGGCTGTGCTGCGTCAAAGCGTACCTTCAAAGTACCGGGTTAGGTGTCTCATCTGTGCTTATATTCTCCCTTTAGGCTACTTATGATAAGTATTGCGCAGATGACCTATTTCAAAGGGTTGCTGCTATGCCGGAATTGGAATCCCGTACTATGCTGATGTTGAGCGGTACTTCCTTCTAAACGCTTCAAAGTATTTTATTCCCTGGACAATTAAACTTCTGTTTCCTATTGACCGGAATAAATTTTTGAAACGATTTGGTGGTTGTGTTGGCCATTCAAGACCCATCGATGTAACATCCATGTATTGATAATAAATCTTGATGCCCCTGTTTGGAGTGATGACTTGAGTGTTGTCCATGGCTGGGATGGTTCTATTAATTTAGCAACACAGCCTCCGGGCATGACGTTTTTGCGGCATTGATCTCGCCACGATCTGAGCTCTCCCTCGAGCCTCAGGTGTCGATCTGGTAGGGCATTGGTTGTCATCAGGACTGACGTTCCTGCGTCACCCCTCTGGCTCGGTCCCCCCTCGACTAACCGAGGAGGGATCGTGCTCGCTGTGATTGATACTAGTCGGCACGTGGGTTTCTCCCGGGTGATCACGCTTTGTTGTGGAGGGGTCAGAAGACGTGATGGGGGTAGGACGTGCTTTTGTCTGGTCATGGGTTGCCATGATAGTTCGGTGGACCGATTAAAGAAAAATCTTTGGGCCTGCCATAGTGTGGTGAAGGGTATAACACCTGTAAAACTGTTTGCGGAGTAGTGGCGAAATTGCTCGAGGCGCATTGTGGTATGAATTGGCGTTGAATTTCGGATGTTCATAGCCATCTAGATGGGCTAAGGGCGTTTCTTACTTAGGTAGGTCCCCTTAGATTCGCACCGGCAAATTGTGCCTGGGAGGTTGGACTGCAAATTTCCCTTGGCAGCTGAGCTAGAGGCCAGCTGTCGACAAACTGATCATGATGGAGGTAAAGTCGCTAAACCATCCCGTGTCTCGGCATCCATTACTCGATACTGCTTTTGAACAGTCGGCTTGACCTCAGGTGCTGTAGTTGAACTCCAGCCCGCTGACTAATGCCTCACCACCTTGACCCCAATTAAGTATGTGCATAACACGGGATGGAGTACGTAAATAAGCAATGGCCTACTTAATCATGAACCCAGCTTGACACCGCAAGCTCACTTGCTGGGCGAACCAGTTGCGAGATGTCCATTCGCCGCCACTCGCCTTGTGACTAAAGCAAGTGTGTGACAGGAAAATCTGGTGTGTCGTACTGGCACGCGTCGTGTAGGTCGGATCAGTGCCTTGGTTTGGAAAAGTGACAGTGGGTTGGGGACATTAGTCACCACCGTGAGTCACTGCAGCGTGTGCATTAGTCATCCGGATTGTGGTGTTGGCGACTGGGTGGGGTGGTCAGTCCACACTACAGCTGTTTGGCCAGAACTTCAACAAAATCATGATCAAAAAGAAAATTGACTAAGTTTGGCGGATGTCGCTCTTCCTTGAGGAAAAAGTGATGTGTTTGATGAGGTGCCACGTGAGAGACGCCTCTGCAGTGCTCCCCACCCCCTCCCGCCATTCAAACGATTTGATCGCAACAGCTGAAGTAAATCTACTGACTGGGACCACCGCCCAGTGCATCATGCTGCTTGAATGAGTTGCCAACGTCCAAAAGTGAGGCAGCGATAGTCGGTTTTGGCTACCATACGACATGTCAAAGTGCTCGCTTAATTAAAGCGCGACGGTTACAAAAACATCGATTTCTGGTAGCGGGTCATCATGGAGGAGAGAATGGATGTGGAAACACTTCCATCACCTCGCCTCTGTTAGGCAGATTGCCCGCCACTCAGGGAAAAAAAGTACAAGAATACGAATGGTGACGGTAGTTATGGCCCGGGACAGCTTCATCTAAGCTTATGCGTTAACAGGGTGACAAATGCATAAAGCAGAGCTAATAATTTCATTGAGGAAACCTAACCTCAGAGCTAGATATAAAATGTTAAATTGGTGCTACTGAGCTATAAAAGTAGGAACAGAAATTTGTACTTACCGTTTCATCCACTCCTGCCGAATCCGATTCATCCATGCATCGCGTGTCCATGGCTCCAATCATTTCACAACTATTCTAACATTTCACCATCGATTCCGTATGCAATCATAAACCCGTCCACCATGTAGGCATCCCACCTCGTAGGTGTTCGTGTTGAAGGTATCCAACTCGTAGGCAATCCAGTTTGTATACACCCAATTCGTAAGTGTTGCAGCGTAGGCATTCACGTCACAGGCACTTGGGAGACGTCTTTAGTTGCACCTTTATTCCTAATTTTAACGATTTGATCACAGCGGTTTAAGTATATCCAGTGAGTACTAAATTTGTGTAAGCCAATATGCCCCTTAGGTGTGTTGTCACTATCCAAATGCAAGGCAACGACGATCATTTCTCGCCTAATAAAAGTGCAAAGGTTACTAAAATGTTTATTTCCAACTGCGGGTCATAGGGGAGTCGAGAATGAATGCAGAAACATTGCCATCATCTCGCCTCTGTTAAGCAAATTTTTCGCCACTCAGGACAAAAAGTCACAGAAATGCCAAAGACCGCGTTGGTTCTGGATCAGTATGGTTGTGTCTAATCTAATGCATTAATTTACAGGGTGACAAGTGAATAAAAGGGAGCAAGTAGTTTTATTAAGGAGATCTAACATCGAAGTTAAATATAAAGTGTCAAATTATTGCTACTGAAGCATAAAAGTAGAAACAAAAAATTGTACTTATTGATTTTATCTACCCTACTCCCAACCCAACTATTCATCCGCCTCTCCTTTTCCACTTTTTACAATGATACCGTGTTGGTTAGTTGAATTTAGTAACATCAGCGATCCGTTTTCCTTTCATTTTTAATATGCGAATTTTCGTAACTTAATTGGTTTGTCCTATTGCTGTTGTTTTCAATTGCACGCCGGAACTCTTTTCTATTTTAGGCAAGTTTCTATGGTTAGCTGCATTAGAATTAGCGGTCGTGATGGCTAGGTGGTTAAATGGGTTTCTGTTGTCTTATCAGAAATTCAGTGTTTTATGCTGTTTAGACGGGTTCTAATACAATGAGAAAAAGAATCTGTTTAAATGAGAAGTTTCTTTAATGCGTGTTAACAGATATGTCTTGGCTTGACCTACACAAATACGTCTGTTTGAGAAGATTAGACGTCCGTCAATCGTGATACATCAATAAATAGATAGACGAATTGAGGTAGAAAGGTAGATGGAGTGGCAGACAATGGAAATAAAAAAATCTAGTGGTTTGGAAAATCTATCACATTCTCTATGGGTGAATTTGCGGACTTTTCCGGAAAAGGTCCATTAATATTTATACTTGGACACATTTTCAAATGAGTTGATCTTACGTGATGTGATGGTGGTATTGGATGGGTCACTGAGGCCACTGAACGTAAATGGGTATTATTGCACAATCGTCAGTGGTTTGTTTCCTTTTGCTTTTAATCCATCCTCTTCGGTTGAGACTTGGTTGACCAGTCCTACCGTTGCTACTGTCAAGTGTACGCCATCCGTTACGCTTCTTCCATCACAACGTAGTTGGTGCTGTAGGAGATCCACCGACTAGCTGATCGTGCCAGTCATTGGATTTCCGTGCAACTGAGAAGGTATTTGACTACAACGCCACTGACCACAACTGCCACTCTACTGCATCTGGAGTTTCGTTCTGTTTGGGAACTAAAATTGAGGGACTCAGGTATGTGCTGGCTATCATACATGACCGTAGCTAGACGTAGAAACACTGGCCCAAAAGGAGTTGTTTAGCAAAGGACGAAGTTTGTCATCGTTCTGTGAAGATGGGATTCCGCATTCATCCCCCTTGCCAACTAATTCTCTCTTGGGATCTCTTCAGCTATGTCTATCTTGACTCCATCTAACTTGTGAAGAAGTGAAGGAGGTATCGCATGTTTACTTCCTTGACATCTTTCATACAGGTACCGCAAATAGCTCAGGAACGAGCATTTTAGACAGTGTAGCTTCGCTTATTAATGGCAATCCTGCAGAACATGGGACTCAGGTATTTATCGGGGATAGACTTCTTCTTTTAAGACTTGGTTGACAAATCCTATCGTTGCTACTGCCAACCGCACGACGTTCGTTTCGCGTCTGTTATTACAATATAGTTGATGATGAAAAGAGACTCCCACAGGCCGACCGCGGTAGTCATCGAATTCGCAATCAGAAGAGGTATTTGACCTCAAACCACTGATCGCTCTTAAAAATATCTCTGCATCAGGAGTTTTATCTTGTATGGGAACTGGTTTAGGGCCATCATGTATGACTCTAGCTAGCCGTAGAAGCATTGGCCTAAAAGCAGTGCTGTAACAAAGGACGAATCGAACAGTGTTCTGTGTGAATGGAATTTCGCATTCATTCCTCCTTGCTAATCAGTTATCTCTTCAGACTTGCGCAGCCACATCTCTCTGTGTTCTATCCAACTCGTAGGGAAGTGGTGGAGGTATGGCATGTTTGATCACTAATTCCTTCACGCAGGTAATGCAGGCAGTTGGGTGACAAACTGTCCCGCATAGTTCACGGCTAGTGTCGCTTCATTTGTTGATGTCTTTTCTGGCGGACATGGGCCCTGGGTAGTTGCTGAAGATAGATGTCTTCTTTTGAGACTTGGTTGACTAGTCCTATCGTTGCTACTGTCAGTTTCATGCTATCCGTTCTGCGTCTCCCATCGCAACGTAGTCGATGTTGTAAGGATACACCCACTAGCCGAGGGCGGTCGTCATCGAATTTCTAGGCAGCTGAGGAGATATTTGACTGCCACGCCACTGATCACAATTGGCTATTCTACTGCATCTAAAGTTTCGTCCTCTTCAAGAAATGATTCGAAGCTATCACGCCTGACCGTAGCTGGTTGTAGAAACACTGCCCCAACAGCAGTCACATAGCGAAGGGCGAGGTTTGTCATTAGTTCTTTGGGGATAGGATCCCGCATTTATTCCTCTTTGCTATTCTGTTCTCTCTTCAGATCTGGTCAGCTGCATTGCTCTGGATTCTATCCAGCTAGTAGGGAAAAGGAGGAGGCATCGTAAGTGCTCACTACACTGACATCTTCGTCCAGGTAGCAGATAGATCTATAACTAATTGTTCCACATGGTTCACGGCTAGTGTGGCTTTAGTTGGTATTAGCATTCCTGCAGAACACGGGTTTGGGATGGCTATTGAAGAGAGACATTATTTTGAACCCCTATATTAGGGGATATCACCGATTCTTCCTTCCACCCCGCTAAGGTACACTACCTTGCAGTAGAAATCGTAAAAGCCATCCAAAGAGTTCATTTTTTCCTGCAGTTTCATTCAATTATGCCATATTAACTCGTCACAGAAATCCGACTTTTCATACAGTTCATCAAGCCAGTAATTTTCTTTCTTAATTCTCCTTAATGTGCTGTCTTGCGTGCTCTCAGGCCAGGAAATACTTCGATTCGGAGCTGAAAGCAAGACAAAGTGTTCTGTGGCAGTGCATAAACTGTACGGCAGCCAATATGAGATATAAAACAGGAAAATTGGGGCAAGCAAATTCAAAAACTCACTTTCCGCAGCCCAATCGATTTCCACGTGGAGCCTCCAGATGGAATTGGCAGAGCTCGCACGGCTAACGGGACCTCTGACACCAATTCCAACGAGGAAGTTCCATTTTCTGACAAGTTATTGGACCTAAAATGCAAAAAAAATTCATTCAATGGCGGATGAATTCGTTGACCGCCTCAAAGAATGGATAATGGCCATTAGCAGCCGGACCACAAAGCAATAAATGGTAGATCAGAACAAGCCTGTAACAATTCACGATGGGTCCAGGCCAGTTTTTCATGTTTTTTTCTGTAATAATTTCTGTAAGAATGGAAGAGCACCTTTGTATGTAATCCGGAGTAGCGAAATTAGTTTGACAGCAAATGTACTCACCCAGCAAATTGTAAACGGGAAATGCAATACAACGCTGGGTTTATGTAAACAAGCTACAAGTATCAAATTATGTTCTTTTTTGAAGTGATGAACCCTTTTTCAGGATTTCCAAGCAATTAGTTATTTTGTATAGATGAAAAAAGTAAAATAATACTGTGATTATGAGTGGAACTCCTCCTTTAGGATTTGCGACCACTTGAGATTCCACTTTTGTACTTTTACAGGGTAGCATGGCCCGAGAAACATGCTGGTAGCCCCCTCCAACCCTTCTCCACGCCGGTAAAATATATTTGGCTTTGGTATTATGTCTTCTTTTGTCCTCAGGAAAGTCGTTTCGTACTACACTGGTAGAGGAGGCGAACAAACCCAATTTTCTAGGATTGTTACCCTCATTTTTAGTCTTAAGTGCTCTACTATGGCGTGATGAAACGCCGTGTGTTGCAGATGGGAGAGTCTGCAACATCTTTCAACAGAATATTTGAAAGTAGCGTCTCAATTCGGTGTATATTTTAGTTACGGTATTCTGCAGCAGTGCTAACTACAAGTGAAGCCGCACTAGCATGGACATGAACCGTCTGAAAACGTTTGTGAGGGAGGAATCTGAGATACCGGTACGAATACATCAATTAAGTTAACTCGCGATACCTCCTCTACCACCTAACTAGAACCCAAATAAATGTTGGCTCGAAAGCAATGATGTGAGAACAAGGTGGAGTGCTGGAACAGACGCGAAACCTAGTTCTCCCCACAGACTTATTTTAGACCCGTCCATTATGAGATGACTCTGCTTTTAGGCCAGTGTTCTTGCGACACGTGATGGCCTACACAATGACCCTTTCCAACGCATTTGTCAAACAAGATAAAACATGAGATACAGTAGAATTGCCATGAGAGATCAGTGACTTTGAAATTAGATGCCTTCTCGGTTGAGCCCTAACTCTACGACTAGCACGGTTGGTTAGTGGGTATTGTTCTAACAGCACATACTACATTGTTATGGACGATGTGGGAGGTTGACCCAGGGAACGACCGAAGACGACGCTCCAAAGAGGGAAGCGGCTTAATTATGCTGAAATTATCTATTCAGCCTTCGGCTTTGGTAACAGGACACCGAGAGCCCCGCCTACGTACCTTAGTTGAGCTAAGCCGGTAGCCCCCAGCCCTTACGTACACCGGCAATAAATTTCCTACCCGATGACTGAATCCTTGTTCACCCATTCCATCGCGTGCATAGTTCATCCTACCTATGGTGCTGACGACTAGATGAGCTTGTTTGTCGACTTCACAAATGGTTAATAAAAAGGCCTCAAAAGTCATGGCTAAGGAGAAAAAAAATGGCAAATCTGACAAACATTCCTTTTAGTTAGGGCAAAAGTTGCGTTTGATGGTTAACCACCCAAAGTATGTCTGCAAGAGGGTCTCCCACATTCAAATGATCTGACCAGAACAGTTGAAGCAAATCCGCGGGCTGAGACGTTTGTGTAAGCCGGCATGCCTCCTGGGAGAGTTCCCAACGTCCAAACCGATAGGAAACACTTCCATCATCTGCACCTCAATAAAGCTGATGTTCCACAACTTGAAGAAAAAAAGCACAGGATTGCAAAATACAACATTGGCTATGGATTGGGAAAATTGCATCTAAATTTACGATATAATTTAAAGGGTTATAAATGAGGCTGGTACTTACAACCTTGCAAATTAAATTTAGCACGAAAAATCATCTCAGTTCTACATATGAAGGGTCAAATTATTGGTGCAGAAACATACCAGAAAGAGTAAAGCTTGTATCAACTGTATCCGTCAGAGCCACTTGATTCCCTACATCCAATTATCCCATATCCATCGTTTCAGTCAACCATTCACTCATACATCCTTTCATGCATCCTTTCTAGTGTTCATTTATTAATCTATCCATCGAACTAAACCGGTGTTTGAGGGAAAAATTATAGCTTGCCTGGTATAGAAGAATAACAGCCTTTAATCTTGATAAAAAGGCATATAGTGGGGCTGAAATACACAGTTATTTGGTGAAGCGCTCACCTTTCTCCCAGCTAAAGCTATGGACTCCTTTGAAAATGACCTCTTAACATGAAAACATGGACATATTTTTGAATGGGTTGATCTTGCGAAAAGTGACGGGGTAATGCCGGTGCCATTGGGTGGGTCGTTAAGGCCACGCACCACGCATACTTCAAGTGGAGGCGTTTGTGGTTCTTTTTGACAGGGAATCGGTCCAGCCCCTTAGTTTGACAAAGGAGAACCGGAATTTTTCTGCTTTCGATGAATAGACGCCTGCCAGTCTTGACGGATTGGTAATCTAACTAAAATACATGACAATTTGGTGAAGCTTTCAACTTTTGCATGCATAAAGGTATGGATACCTTGACACTCTTGACACAAATACAAGTACACTTTCAAATGAGTTGATTTTACAAAGTGTGACCAGGTAATGGTGGCATTATGGGGTGGGTCATTGAGGCCATGCCCTATGAATGTTCAAATGGAGGTATTTGAAGTGCCTTTTGACAGGGATTTGATCCAACGTCTTATGTAGTGTGACGAAACAATGATCATAATATTGAGGGGTCATTGTGGTTACATGCCATGAATTTGCAAATGTAAGGTATTCGGCAGTACGTTTCTTTCCGCCTTTGATCTTAATGATCTTCTACGACTTTGTCAACCACTTTTGTCGTTGTTATTAGTCAATTGTACACCGTCCGTCCGTCCATCCATCCATCTACTTAAGGAACATTGTAACTGTTCACTATTCCTACAAATGCCTTCAATTATGCCGCGTCAACCCAGCATGGAAATCTACATTTTCGTGTAGTTAAACAAGAACAACTATAGCAATTTTCGTACCTACTTCCTCCCTATGCGGCGTCTTGTGTGTTGTCACGAATTAAAGTGCTCTGATCCAAATGAAGAGTAGGGCACGGTCTTCTGTGACAGTGAATAAACTGTGCAACCGCCTACGTGGGCAACAAAATGCGGAGTTTGGAGCAGGCAAATTCAAAAAGTCACATCTGACAGCTTAGTCAATACTCGCGTGGAGGTGAAAGACAAAATTTACACGTCACAGACAATTAGGGAGGCCCCCGAGACCAATTACAGTAGAGCAATATTTTCTTACAACTTCCTGAATCTAAAAGTCAAAAAATTCAAACAAATACCCGCAAATGTCGAATTTTAAGAGTCAAAATGTGAATGGATATGTAAGCAGTTTAAAGGAAATGAGAACACAATTACGGCTCAAAACCACAAAACAGTGGGGAAGAGATTAGGGCGAAGCAATTATAGCGCCCTGAGACTTCCCCGAAGACGACAGAAGACATGATGCCTGGATTGAATATGTATATTTGATATACAGCAGGGATTAGAAACACTGGCGCGGCCCAGAGGCTAGCCGACCCGACGAAGGTGCAGCGGCCAAGATACCAAGTGGTCCTGTTACAAAACCGAGGGTTAAACAAACACCCAACGTTTTAAATCTAAGCTGGCAGAGAGCAAAATTTTAGAGGAATGTGGGCCTACCTGTGAAGTTAACCTACGGTGGTGTGCACTGCAACAATTACCGTTTACTTATATTTTATTTCAAATTATTTTTTCCTGACGAAATAATCCATTTCAAGGATTGTTACACAGTCAAAATATACTTATCTAAAGAAAATTAAAATATTAATTTGGATTTAATTTACTCGTTTTTTGGTTTGCAACCAATGAGGTTTCGCCGTTGTACTGCCGCTGGGGGGAAGGCGCAAAATTCTGGCCTTTCGCCAGCAGCCCCCGGACCTTTTGCATGTCTGCACTACAGAATCGGTCCTAGCATTGCGTCTACATTCGTCTTTAAGGTAGTGCCAGGGCTCTAAATTGGTGGCAGCGGAAATTGAACCCTTAATTTTAGCCAGTAAAAGCTAAACCTTAATGTGGGGAGGGAGGGTTATGTGCTGTGGGTGAAAGAATCCGTGACGAATGCCAACAGGAGGGTTGGAAAGATGCTATTAACAACCGAGGCAGCCGGAAAAGTTCGTTACGAAACTATCTACGGTGCCTGTATGAGGTTGTTAACTGGGCAAACAAGTGATGCCTCCCCCACGATTCTACTAGCTGGATGGGAATCTGATAGATACACGGCTGGGCTGTACTGAAGTGAGGAAAAGGTGGAGGTGAGAAAAAGTAGCATAATCTTATTCTTAAGAAAACATTTTAAATCTCATCCTCGACTGAATGACCTTGCTCTTAGGTTCGTGTTCATACAACTTGCAGTGGAAATACGAGATGGCCAGCGTATTCCATCGTCCTCCCCAGTACAGTTCCCATATAGGATTAAACTTCAGATCCAGTAGATTTGCCAAGAGGGATCAGTGAGGTTGTGGCCAAGTATTTTCTCAGCTGCACGCAAATTCTATGGCTGACGCTGTTGGTTTGTAGATGTATTCCTTATAGGAAAGAATACGTTTTGCTGGCCGAGGCGGGAGGATGGCCAAGAGGATCACCAGGAAAGACGCTCAAAAGGAGAGGTGGACTACGTAATCCTTTAAGCGTTTACTTAACTTTTCGTTTTAGTTTCGAAGGCACTTATATCTCCGCCATTGTACCTTGACCGGGTGGCCTGGTCTCTCGGTTGTGTCAGTAGAAAAACCAATTCTGTTCTAATATTATGGCTTCTTTCTCCTTTGGCGAAGTCTCGGAGCTCAGCAATTACGGTTGGTTTTACCAGTATTGCACTTTTAAACTATTAATGTAAAGCGAAAGCCATTCAAAAATTTGCCGTATCGAATTGACAATTCCACGATTCACCATACTTTACTGACTATGTTGTAGTCATTCGGAAACTTTTATGAGTCTCTAATTTAAGTCTTGCTGACAAAAGTAACATTGATGCAAAATCAGCCCCATAGTTGATGCATTCCTAATTTTGCTTCAGCCAAATTTCATAGAAGGCAGGACTTCTGAAGCTCATTTTTGATGTGTTATTATGAGGATTTGTTGTTTGATTAAACTGGGTTTAGTTAGGCGACTGCTTCGATCTCTGTGGCCCTCCAGTACGGCCTTGGGACCATGTTTGCAGAGGAAAGCAGTGGTACTCTGTTCAATTCTCGATTATAGCAAGGGACCACACAGAATCTCCGGCACCGCCACCCCACGGGGCGGTCTGGCCTCTTGAGCATGCCAGTAGCGCCCCAATCTTGCCGTACTAAACTCCTGCTCAAGTACTGACGCCTTTCGACTATAGAGAAGTTTCGGGGCGCTCAAGTAGCCTCCTCACCCTTCTGTTCTTTCAAACTACTGTCCCATATTACTACCTTAAAAGGAGTCTGGACCGTAATATAACGACTTCAGCTGGCACAAAGAAACCATCAATTTCCCAAATGCAGATAGCTAACTTATTGACTAACTTAACAGAAATATCTCCACTAAATTTTCATATATTAACTCAATACGCCTATAAAACTATTAATCAACACCAGGACGGATTGAAAATAGCCATTCCACCAGTTCCAACACGGTGTCTACCTCCACACCGTATACGAGAGCTGTGTCCAGATGGATTCTCTACATATTTCTATGATTACATTTAGCGCGCTAGCTCAGGAATATGGTATCCACCATGACACCACCTGCTTCTGCCGGGGCTGGCCTGTTAGATAGGGCAGCTTCATTACTGTGTGTATCCCCCTTCCTGTGCTGTACTGCACTATGATATCTTGCTGTTTCTGCTCCTCATACTGTCGTGCAACCGAACGGTCTATTTCCTTTGTTGTTTTCAACCAGGTCAACGCTTGATAACCCATTCTCATGATGACCTTTCTCTCTATCAGGTGATGTCTGAAGTATCTTACTATTGTGAAGACAGCATAGTTAACGTTGCACTGCTTTTTTCGTCTCATTTCTTTGTTGAGTCCTGTATTCGCGTGACCGATGACACGTTCCCTTCATTCTTTGTCCCTTTGTAAGAGCACACCACTCACGGCCGCATCGTTAGCGTTAGTATCCTGTGAAAATGGTCAGGTGCTTGGGTCGAAGTTGGGCAATGATAGATTTAGTGCAGGGTAGAGCATTCGCTCCAGTTCTTTGAACGCTTCATCATACTCCTTCTCCCATTCGCATTTCGTTTTCGCCATCTCTTCCTCCAATTTACCCAGAGGGCTTGCGATTTTAACAAAACCTTTACAAATGCCTGTATTAGAATGTCAAGCCCAGGGAATGGCGGAGTTTCGTCTGATTGGTTAGTGTTGACCAAGTCCTCACTTGTTTTGTGCGGCATGCGGTAACTGCCTTCCCATCTGACAAGGCAGCGTGTCCCAAGAAGTTGACCTAGGGCTGCAAAAATGGCCATTTCTTTGAGTTTAGGGTCAACTCTCTGTTCTGAAAGTGTTTTACCACCAATCTGAGATTAGTGTTATGCTCCGAATTACATTAATATTAACCAGGTACATTATACTATGTTTCGGGAGTAATTCAGATGGTGCGATTTGCATTAGCCGTTGTCTGGGATTCAAGAGTCGATTCAACATTATGAAAGCTGTTCTCTCCCTGTCACTTTCCACCACTTTCCTTCTCAGCATCCCGATTTTAAGTCTGAAGCGTCGAGTCGGTTTTAATCCTGTAAGAAGTCCAAGGATTCGTTTATGTGAGGCAGTGGAGGGCATCCTTTGTCACTACGTTCAATACCCATAGTCGACGGACAGCCGTAAATTTCTGGTGTTCTCTATCAGAGCAATTTGAGAGGGTTATTGTGACATTGACGGGTTTATGACCTCGTCTTCGATCGTCTCTTCGAGCAGACGGTTTGCATCTTCTAGCAAAGGGAGTTAATTATGTCTGGATTGTCGTCAGATGGGTCTGGCTTCGTTAGTCTCAACCGTATATTTGACGACACTTGTTAGTCCCAGCTTAGGGCCTTGCCATGCAATTACGTTCGCATACTTAATCAGCAGTTTCCGGAGTCCGTTTCTCTCGTTGCAGGAGATTTAGGTGAGCTGCACCCAGAACTGAACTACATTGCCTATTGGCATAGCTGGAGCTTTGAATATTGCATCGTAAATATCGCAGATGCCTTCCCTCAATAGCGTAGCAGCTGTCATGGCTTCAGAGTCTTAATGGGTAGAGAGGATGTATTCCGCAAAACTCGGAATAGCTTTGATGTTGCGCAGACAGTTGACACCAAGAACCACCTCCCAAGCCAGTTCTAGGCCACCAAATTTCACTACCCATGCTTCCTCGTTTGTGTTGACATGGGATGACGTCTCCCCTTCTACTACCATCTCCTTCCCTTCTGCTGAATGCAACCTGATAGAAGGCGAAATGATCTCAATCCTGTGACAAAGGTTCAAGAAAGCCTTGACATGTACAGTTGAACTAGTTGCGCCGGTGTCCCAGAGGATATCGTATGAACGTCCTTCTGGCTTGTCTGGGGCTTGCACGAACGAATGGGAGCTGTTTGGGAGCCAATAGGATAGGGAAAAGGAGGACTCACTTACAGGTGGTGCATAACGTGAAGGAGCTCGATACAGGGGAGCCGAGTTTGGTCGTCGGTTGCGGTTGTTGTAGCGTGGGACCGAAAGCAAATCCTAACGCTTCCTCTTTATGAACTTCACCGGTTTGCTGAGGCAGTTGGTGTTCGTGTTGCGGAGTTTCTCGATCCTAGTGGGTGAGCGAACTCCGTGTCTGAATTGGACGTTAATCCACGCAGCGAGCCTGGTTGGAAGTGAGCCGCGAAAGTCTTATTGTCCTGGCGGTTGAAGGGTGCTTGTGTACTCCTCGTTGTCTGTGCCCACTTTTGGTAGTGGGGGATGAACTCTCTGACGAATGTCTGTTCTTCCTGGTTGATGACGAGTCGGGTTATGGTAGTACAGCACGCCTCCATCTCGGTGTGTTGGGTTAACCCGACCTCCGTGGCAGCCGAGAAGAGGTTTGTGTGGTTGGACGCGTGAAAATGGAAGTGTTCTCTGACGTAGTGGGTTGGATTGGGGTTTAAGTCTGTTGGTTTTAATGCACATTTCGAGTTTCATGCCATCCTCTTTAAGGGAATGTCCACCAATGCTGATGCTGGTGTAATTCTTTTGGTGCGCCTTTTTTCCACACTAGCCTTCATGACCTTGGAACCTGCACACGAGTTGCACAAGAATATGGATTATGGGCATCTATATATAGGGGGTGACAATACTGCTGTTAAGAGTTTTCGCAGCATATTTTCTCCACGCTGGTCAATGTCAACCATTTTTGTTATCCATAGCGTATGAAAGACGTCGCGTACTCTAACAGTCCTACCTTTGGAAACTAATTTGCAATAATATGCCCTAAGACTTTCATGGACAGATCTCAAAAGGTTGTAAAGATTAATATTTGTGATTGTCGCATACGCTTAACATTGTAGTGATAATTTTTGCTGTGTACCATCTTCATTTAGTACATTAATTTTCGCATTTTGCTTTCTAATACTCAGTACACAATAAACTTGTATGTCATTTTCACTGTTCAATTTGCACCACCTGCTTAAATTCCGCTCTATCCAAATCTAATTAGACATTCACTTATTTTAGAGGCGTTTACCTTTCAACCCAATTTCGCACTGTGGGCTGGTACCCTATTATCAATGACACTGGTTATCTAGGATTGGTTTCCGACCATGGACTTGTTAAAATATGACCAAAGCTATCAGGATCTTAACTGTTGGCTGAATGTTTATGATATCGCGAGCTTAGAAGGGTGGCTTACTGATAATGTAATTCAATTTTTCGGTGAAATAATTGAGAAGAATTTCGCGCTGAAGATCTCGGATATTCATATATCAATACTTCACCCAGTCGCCACAGTGTTTATTCGCTCTAATCCCCAATCAGTCCTTGAGCATTTGCATTTAGCTGAAAAGCATTGGATATTTTGTCCTATCTACAACTCTCCGAAATATGAAAACCAAGGAAATCATTGGTCACTTTTGGTCATTTCACGTGATTTGAATTTGTCCTTATACCTGGATTCCCTTTTGCCTTCAAAAGCAAACATACAAAACCCAACTTTTGAGGTTAAAATAGCTCAAGAAACCAGCGATATTATTTGTGGTTTTTGCAAGTGGGCAACCGACTTCCGGATTATTCCGTGCCTTCAGCAATCAAACGCTCATGATTGTGGCATCTATGTTATTTTGTATATGTGTTGGATTTGTCATTTCCTGATAGAAGATGATCTTAAATGGATAGATTCTGGATTAACTGCTCGGCAGATGAGACATGATGCGTTCAGGCTTCGATCCTATCTTCGAGATGAAATTAATCTGTATCTGCGATCTAGGGCAAGCAACCCGTGAATTTCAAGATTTCAGTGACATCCCCATTTGTTACGTAGAATGTGTCTGTTTTTATGAAAATTCCTTTGGAAGATCTCTCTTTTTTGGTGTTTTTTATTCCTCTTTTTTTATGTGAATTTTTAAAGCCATGGGCCTGTATTGTCTCGAATTCTTGCATCCATGGATTGTATGGAGCCTTGAAGAAGCGGTGATACAGTGCGGAATTTTGCCGCTTTTAGCTAAATCCTACCAGTAAAAATTTGTTCCTTAGCTGGTATCATTTATTCCTTCTCACTCGGTTCTACCTATTGCAGTCGCACTAGGTTTAATGTTCCCACTCATAATCATTCACTGGAATGTGTGATTATGGGCTATATTTTCGCTTTGTTCACAGTGTGCTTGCTTGATCCAGTCGTTTTCTATGCATATCTACTTTTGGCAGATAAGGACGAGGAAAGGAAAGTAGCTATTTACAAAAGTACGATTTCCTTTTTAAGTCTACCAGAATTAGGCCGCTTTCTTAGTGGGTAGTCATTCTCGTAACTGGTGTAATACTTTTGAAACTCTCCACTGGAAGATCAATTCCTCACATTTGAATCCGAGAGATTGGTAAAACAGCTTTTTCTTTTGTTGATCGAAGTAGCTATGGTCACTGGGCAACCGGAGTATCACCCTTCACTACTTTGGAGTCAGGATGAGAGGAAAATTTTCATCAACGTGAAGCTAACTGAAGTTAAGGTAAGTTCTTGCTCTTTTTTCCGTACATGTCACGTCCGTTTTTCCATTTTTCCATTGGCAGGACCCGCGAATGCAAATCGGCAATGCCTCAATCCACTTCAACGCCACTGGAATGGGTGCAAATGGACTACAGGAATATGGTTTCTCTCTGGACCTCTTCGAACCGATCGATGATGAGGTGGTGACTGGAATTTGGTCTCCTACTCTTAAAATTACTCAGTGTCTTGCTGTTTTACCTTACTATCCCAAACAGTTTCACCTAGGTTGCACAGAATGACTGAAAGGTGTTGAGCCTTCGTAGGATGTTGAAAACTCCATTTCGTACACTTATGCATTCTATGCAAATTCGTAGATTATAAGGGTGTTGCGACTTTTCAGTTAGGTATATAATATGTTGGAGAAGCAAGAGTAGCGCCTGTAATTTCTCATGGCATTTATGTGTTTTCACGAACTCATCCATTGTCTGTAACTTCTCTATTACTTTTTTACCACTTCCGGTTTAATAACAGACTCGTTTGAATGGAAGCCACAGGAACAGTGAATCAAATTGCTGCCCCTTTTTGAGTTGCTTTGCATTTTTCGTTACTTTTGAACAGTGGAGAAATTGTTCAGAGTTCATTGTTTCCATTAACCTCCACCATTGCTATGAGCCTACCCTGAGCTTTTACCTTCTATCACTAAGCATATGCGAACCATTTTCAACCGGCCAGTAATTATGTCAATCTATCTGAAGGGATTTCGATTCAAGTATTAACACAATGGGCATGAAAAATGGTAATTTAGTATAAGAAGAGTAAGTTAGTTGATCAGCTCTAGATTTTCGTCTACCCTTTCCCTGAAACCGTGCTTATCTTTTCCGAGTTTTCACTCTACCGCTGTCTTTCGCAAATTCTGATCCTCTACTAAGTAGAGAAGCTGTCTCACGTTTTTAGCAGCTTAACACTGAAACTTCCAGGAGGTAGATTATTCGACAAGCTTAAGGATCCCACCGACTTGCCTCTCAATAACTTGCATTTTACTATCATGACCTCTGTTGAGTTTCCATCTACTGTTGAGAGGCAGAGACCTAAGGCTTTTTGATGATGCCTTCCTTTCTCCCTTCTCGCCAAAGACCTCCGACTTTACGGTGACGGAGACGGGTGTGAACATAGTGCTGGTTAAGCGGGAGGCGGGCGTGTGGCCTCGACTTACACAGGCCGCCAACCAGCGTCCACCCTGGTTGCGCACCGACTTCGATCGGCTCTCTTCGGCCGTCGTGAAGGCTATGCTCGTTGCGGGTGGCGATGCTGATGAAAGCGACAGCAGCGAGGAGGATTCACAACCTCGAACCAACGTTAAGTGCATTCGACCGTCAGCTGAGGAGATTGTGAGTTATTTGTTAGGAAGTCAAAGTCGGGAAACAGTAGCTTAACACTCGGGTGAAATTGAACTCCAAGCAGGAGTCAACCGAATTCACTCACGACGTTAATTCTACCTCCTCTTTGTATAACCCAGAGCAAGTAGGAAAGTCTTGGCAGTTGTCCGTGTTTATTTATAGACCCGGCTTCGTTTACTGGAGGTGCTGTGGCACTATTTTTGAATCATTTTGCACCAAAATGACGGTGAAATGGAATTGAAAAATGGGAAATTCCAGTGCTGACTGCTTCACTGGTTTTGTTTGCGCTTGCCTTACAAAATAGTTAGCTTCTTTCATTGCCTTAAAGTGGATTCGTTTTGCTGCTTGATCTCATTTTCGTTTTCAGCATCGTTCTCGATGCGCCTGAGCACTCTCAGCTTCTTCTTTGAAGTATAGGTTTGGGTTTTCCTTTAAAGAACATAAGATAAGGCTCTTGAGGGGCTAGTTTTACAATTGCATACCTTGGTTGTTGCCAAGCTATTTTCATCATCGCGTGGTACGAGAGTTGTGAGAGAAAGGAGGAGTTTTTATTACCTGGGAGATTATGTGAACCCTGGATTATAAAGCCCACAATGGGTCATCCCTCATATAAGTAGCATGTGGTCTATATCGTTTTGTAGATTGCTTGCTTCTCTGCGGACCATATTGCTGATAGTTTCATCTTTTCTAATTCAGGTTTGTTGATAGCTGATGGACATTTTTTTAGCTGGTCCTTGCTCGAGATAGAGAGAAACTGACGAATGAATCGACATTTGATAGCCATTCCTTTTTTCTCACGAATATTAAATATGTGACCTTCCCTTCCGCCCAATCATAACACTAACTGTAAAAGACGGGCGAGATGGGCTTTCCAATCCGTTAAAGGATATAAAATAGGCAAATAAAGGAATGCGTCGACTGTAGATTTCCATTACGTTAATTTGTGGAGTTGTAAATCGACTGGAGTTGGATCTACTTATTTGTGGCTCGTAGTTACTCCGATAGGAAGGAATTTGTTTCAGAGGGAAAGTTAAAATGAGAAGTTGCTCAACCGCTTCCATTTCGGCCATCCTCCTGTAATTTTGAGTCTTTGGAAGTGATGGTACATTATTTCTGGGCTTGTGTTTTAACGAAGTCTATGGAACTTTAAAGCTGGGCGTTCATCATTAAGCCTGCTTAGTCTATTCCCTATCAATGTGTGCTTTTGGGTACTTCATTTACTTTTAATTGAATCAGTTTTACTACTTAGTACCACCAGGAAGTTACAAGGCACACGGGTCCAGAGGTAGCTTGATTGGTAGCGTGCAGAGGAAATGGAGGTCTAGTGCGTCACCGCTGATGTGAAGGCCGGACCGCATCAGATTGAAGATACCCTCGTAGTGGCTTAGCATACTTCCTGTTTTACTCATAAACCAACGCTTGAACAGTGGATTTTACAAAAGTCTGTTCACTATTTTGCATAGGATTTCAAATGATCGCACAAGAATTATCAGTATTTTTTTGATTCAGTTTTGCCAATTATTCCTCCTTCCTTCAGCGAAAGCGGAATGTGGAGCGTGCGGAAGAAATAGCGAGGCAACAGTATGATGAATTTTTTAACTGTAAGTTGCCTTCTGTTTATTTGTGGTGTTCACATCGCTTGTATAGGTGCTGGTGATGAGTACTTAAGTACAACGTTCCTTTGCGATGCTCCCGTTTCTCTCTCTTACGAATGTATCATTGAGTGGTTAGCTACAGTAGATTTACATGAATGGGAATGATTTACACTAACTTCTCTCACCTATCTGGCTCCTTTTAGACATAAAGAACCCTTTGGTTATCTACTTGCTCTTATTCAACATCTTCCAGTGGGCTGGATTCATTTACATTTTCGGTGTGATTGTTCGGGGCTGGTGGACAGAAGGCGATGGTATGTCCCCTCCTTACCGAAATTGAGTGGAAATAGTACTCCAATCAATTCAGTAATAATTTTTGCTTCTGTTTCCTTTTAAATACTCTTACAGCTATGAAAAAGCGTGTTTTTGACATGGTCGCGGATCGCTTAATGGTGCTGCAACTAGCCTCGTTCTTAGAAATTGCCCACGTTCTTCTGGGGTGGGTCAAGGGCGGTGTCCTCCCAACCATCGGACAGGTAACGTTTGTCATCTGGGCTTATAGTATTCCTGGCTGTGGCACGACTGAAAAGATCGTGTTAGAGCTTGTGCTACTTAGCCGATTATGTTTGATTTTCTAATGGAATTTGTCACTCTGGTTAGGAAATTATGACAGGACTTATAAAGAGGGCCAGAGTTCTGTCATGCACGCTTCTTAAACCGGTGGGAAGCGTCCTAGGAGTACTGCTTCATCTACACATGGGTTGTCTATTAAGGAGTTAAAAGAATTTTTAAAAGGCTGGTATTTTGTAATAAATGTAGAAACCATACGCCATGTAGGATCCCCAGAACTGATCCACTAATCCAAAAGCTTAGTTTCTAAGTAGATAGTTGGCAAGCTCGGAACGATTGTTGGTTTTGTTTATGTTCTGATTCATGGAGACTATAGATTCGATGGAATTGACTACGTTGAATGTGTTCTCACACCACAGTCCCTACATTGAAAGCCCTCAAAACATTGGTGTGCGATCTTGTGGCTTGGACATTTAGTGCTATCTGATGCACACTTTGATTGGGCGTCTGGAGAAGCTTCATGTGACATCACTGGCTACTGGAATAATCAAAACATATTAAACGTTGGTGCGACACTGCATCTATTGCATTAGCATTAATTTAAATGGACGGTAAGTAATGCCGCGATGGAGCAAAGTCACCAACAAGACTCTTGGTGGGAATCCTGCCTGAGGAAGATTTGCCATTCGATTTGATGATCAAAATTATTAAATTTAGATATCTAGCAATTGCAGGTTTAGCAGTCAGTTTTTACAGGAACGTCGGACCATTAACTTTGTCTAGGGACCGAACTGAAGGTATTTGATTCAAGATAGGAAGCTTCGCCTGATGCAATTCCAGTATGAACCCGTCTTAGTCCCTTAAGGTGATTTTTTGTAGAATTGTATTTGTATCAGAATTTTGTTCAAAATGGACAGATAACAGCTTGCCAATAGTGGAAATTGTACGTGAGAGATTCTTTACGTGCGGCATCGTGACTCCCCCTATAATCCCAAAGTAATATTGTGATGAGGGGGAAATCATGTCATAAGTTAACTGTTAGATCAGTGTAATTCACATCACAGACGGATTGGTATCTTTCTCGAGATTTGTTTGACATATTTATTGACTGCCTCATGCCAAGTAGCCCTTACATAAATCCTTTTAGGTTTTTGGGCGTAATTTGGTACTATTTGCAATACTTCTGCCACACAAGGAACTGCAAGAGGACACCGTTGTGTTCAATCTTTTCTTAGCCTGGAGTATGATCGAGCTTGTTAGGTGAGTCCGCCTTGTCCACTTCATTTGGAATGGATTTTGAACCACAAAAACTGTAGAGGATAGTTTCGACTAAAGCGATGGTCTCTCTACCTGAGGATATTGAGACTTCGAGGTGACTTGTTGCTGATATTACAAAGCGCTGAAAGCTGTGGGAACACTCCCAATTAACAAAGAATCCGATCTACTTGAAATTTGCAGTGGTTGCAAACCTCCTGACTCGCTCGTTCACACACACTCAGCTGCTCACTCAGGTCACATAGCCGGCTTTCACACAATCGCAAGACAAATCACGAGCTGTGATTTGATCCGGAGCTGAAGCATGGAGGAGGAATGCCTTCACGTTGGCGTCTGTGTGCCTTACATCTGAAATCATCTTCTCCTGTTGTGTTTAAATTTGTGATGCAACCGAAGCTCGTGATTGCCTTAACCTTTTATATTAACTGACGATTACCTTATCTTCCAGATAAAAACTGTTGTTCGTATCCCACCAGACTACCGACGACGCGGTTTTTAGTTTACCTATGGGAACGATACGAGTCGCTTCCACGCAGACAGAGTAGCCTTTTTAAGCCTCTTTATCTGCCAGCCATAGTCGTTTATGGTATAATGTGGATTATGTCTCTGTGTAGTTGATATTTGAGTGGAGCGTGTGCATTTCGGGGCGAATGCATGTTAGTTTTTTCGCCTCTGAAGGTATCCCTACTACGCCCTTCGCTTATTCGATGAGGAGATTGGCTTAGTCACCTACTTGAGATACACCCTTTGGATTCCACTCTATCCTATCGGTTTCATGAGTGAAGGTGAGTTATCCTTGTTTGTCTACTTGTAACCTTCCCACTCCGTATGCCATCTGACTTAAAAAGGCTAGCACAAACTCCCTATCGATTGCTATTTTCGCATACTAAACAAATTTAGAATTTTGATTGGTTATTGTTGTCTTTCTTTATTTCCCTTTTCCTTTAGGCAAGCTCATCATCCTGGCAATGCCGCTCCTGGAGGAGTCTCGGCGCTTCTGTATTGAAATGCCTAACCCTGCCAACATATCTTTTGACTTTCCCACATTCCTGCACATTTACATTCTCCTGATGCTGCCTGGTAGGTCTCGTGGTTCATAAATGAGTGACTTTTCTTCATGGTTGATGGGATTGCATTTGACGTTCGGTCAAGTTGTCCCTGAAGATATTTTGTGAAAGGACTGGGTGACCATTTTGTTTCAAGTAAACAGAAATGCCTGCCGTTAATGCGGAGGTCAAATTGCAGAAGTTCGAAAGTGTCGATATCGTCATATGTCATAATTACACCCATGTCTTGAGCATCTTTCTCTATGCTCTTTGTCCTCCTCTGCCTCAAGCACCGCAATGATGTCCCAGATCACTGAAGCAAACAGTAAAATAGACTGAGAGTTGGTGAGACGGTGTTTCACTGCAGTCAGAAACAGTTCTTGACTTGCGTAATCGAACGAATTTCACTGTTATCCTCTCTGTTATTAAAATGTTCTAATATTTAATCGTTTAAGTCGTTCAATGCTTCATGACGCGCACATTTCACACTTAATGGCATTTACTTCTTGGAAACCTTATTATAGAGGTGGTTACTGGTTGAAACACAATGCAGTTTTACTCCTGATCTCACCTCTACTTTACATCTCATTGCGTTTTGACACTGAGCCATTACTGAATCATTGGAACAGAGGATTGTCTACTCTTCAGATTTCATTCATCATTCGGCGTTTCCGTGAAAACATATCGAGTTGTTTTATTAATTTCGTTGCTTACCACGGTCCAGAACTTAGAACTCCCATGTACACTAATTAGTCGACAATTTCCTTGGCTCTTTTGTTGTGTGTCTTCACCATTTCATCCATCTGCGGCCTATAGCAGTAGAGCTGCCCTCGAAAATTTTGTGGAGTAAGTGAGTGTGGATCTAGATTTATTGGTAGCAGAAGTGGTGCGGGCAGAAGAGGTTAGATTAAATGAATAGAATAACAAATAGATAAAGGGACTAAGAAGCATACAGCGTTTAAGCTGTTCTCCGGAGGCCTCAAAAAAATAAGGGTCTGGGGGTAGCTTTGTTATAAAATCATAATGGTCCTTAAAGGTCAGTAGTGTTGGTGGGTGGTAATTATAAAAAGAGTTAATTTCTCTTGCAGGCTTTTTCAACCAAATGCGGTACATGTACTTCCAGCGGCGGAAGAAGCTGACGTTGAGGTTTGGTGGCAGAGCGGGTGGTAGATGAACTGCGTTACGGACCTCCAACAAAGCCTCACTGTGCTGTGCCCCATTCGCACTCCCTCTCATCTATACTTTTCTCATTTGATCTCTATGTGTTGTTAGGTGTTTACTCTGATTTGCTGATCGATGACTGGTGGGTGCTTGAGGTATCAGGAAAGCCGATCGTGATGGCGGATTGGAAACGATTCAACGCCGCGTGGATTGTTGCGCGATACAGCAGTTAACCTTGAAGGCATAATGTGAGTTTGAAAGTAACCCTGATATTGGTTTATGTAAGGGCTGGTAGATCATTACCATAGAGGGCGATGTGGACAGAGTTTCACACCATCTCAACGCGAAAGTAGAATCACGGGAGATGGGAAGTTTACCTATCGGTAGTTCTGCAAATGTGGGGCACACTGATCCATGGACCGACTGTGGTTTGCACATGTGGCTCCGGAATGAAGAGGGGAAGGAATGCAGAGACAGGTGTAAATAAGGGAGATGGATCCACAGTTACATGGGTACACATTGAAAGTAATGACAGATATCGAGGTGCTAAACATGATGTTAGGTGGTTGCGTGTCCACTTTCTCCGAACGTCCCCCCTCTTGTTCGGTCTGTGTCGGCCATTGTACCATTGATTCACTAAAAACCAATCATGAACTAGAAGCGGTAGTCATTTGACTTACTTGTGTGTGGGAAAGCGTTTGGTCCCGGCGTCGCTGTTGCCTTCTACCGATTTCATTGTGTCTGTAGTTCCGTGCTTTGCAGGAACTGTGTCAGGGAAGAAGCGCTTCACTGACTTCATACTGTTAACGGCTGGAGGGTGTTCCGATCGCTACTTATGTGAAAAATTGTCTAGAATTTGAGTCGTTTGATGAAGGTTGTTTAGCAGATCTGGCGTTCTACATCGGTTTCTCCTTGAGACTTCATTTTCATTCCAGTTTTATCCATCATTCAATCAGGATTCTATATTCGTTGACAACATCGCTCACTACCCTGCCGTCGAACGGTCTTGGGTCTTACTGGCAAAATCATTCACTGGATACTACTTTTGATGACAATTTCAAGGCTGACTTCGGTAATTTGGCACTTGTCAATCGTGTGACTGGTTCGCGGAAGCTTTGTTCACCTTGCGGAGATCTATGTGGAGTTGTAGGTTATAGCACCTTCATTCAAACAGCTTCGGTATTAACTCAAGTCCAAAGTCCATATTAGACTGTGTTAGCTGTGGGGCGCCTCGGCTCTTTACTTAAGAATTTTGACGTCTGTGGAAGTTCGTCATTGAAGAGTGCGTGCTCATTATTCATTAAGTGATGCGTCAGGACTACGTAGTTTCAAATGGTTGCAATCCTTTAAATTTCATCATATCGGGCTTTTTTGGTAGTATTAACGGTTGTTTGTCCATCTAGATGGTATTCACAAGATTGCTATCCTTTCTCCTCGGATCTGTTTTGCCAAATAAGGCACCCGTGTTACCATATGCACACAGCATTTCCTGTTCCTCACGATGATGTCTTACTGCTTTAACTTGCATATTAGCATCGTAACATGGAATTGTCAACATGTTAATGCAAATGGGATAAAAGGAATGAACTTGCCACTTTTAAGTGTACGGTCACCTTTGTCTGCAAGAAACGGTGCTTGGAATGGACTTTCGACTTACTAGTTGCTCAACTTTTATAGAAGAGACGTGCTCAGATT